CGAACAGCAGTGTTCAGGCTTCGAACTTGGAGTTTCCACATTCTAATCTGGAGTTTGAACTCGAGTTCAACTCTGAGTTTTGGAAGTTCCGAGACAAGTTGAACCCCGAGTTCAACTCAGAGTTCGAACTCCGAGTTCGGGGGAACAAAAATGTTCGAACTCTGAGTTCGAACATAGAGTTGCGATATCAAGGTTCAAACACCCCTCCAAAAAACCTATGTGGGTTTGCTCCAGCTGTGCTGGCGCGCCGCCTCGCCATGAGTGGCAAAGGGGCATGAAGGGGCTTGAAGGAGAAGCGTGAAGGGGGAGACTTCAAGAAAGGCTTCAAGGTGGCGGATTGAACTTAAAGTGTGAATCCCATTTATGCTTTTCAAAAAGCATGGAAGCGGCGTGCCTAAACGCTATGGAGGAGCCCTCCGAAGCCAATCTTTTGCAGCTGCTGGACCTGTGGTCGGCCTGGACGTCCTCTTCCACCCACGCATGGGGCTGCACCGCAACATTCAGAACATGGCCAGGTGCTTGAATCATGCGCTTGCTCTGGAAGACACAGGAGGGAGGTCGCCTTGTATGTCACGGGCGAACCCTATGTCGTCGCCGGATGTTGAAACACGTGAAGATAAAGCCAAGGAAGGCAGCCAGCTCCAAGAAGAAAGCCGAGCCAGAAGGAAAGCACAAGCCGCAAATCTGGACTGCCAAAGGAGAAACCTGTGCTTGGTGAAAATGAAGGACCTGCAGCAACACCAAGCCGAGAAGAACTTCGCAGAAGATGGAAGAACACCAGAAAGAGCAACTGCGCAAGACTCTTGCCTGAGGGAAGCGCAGAAGGCCATGGAGGAGCTCGAGAAAGAAGCAGCCCTCCGAGAAGGAGAAGGATGCAAAGAAAGCAGAACCAGAACCTGGACGCGAGAAGGAAGATCCGGACTCTGAAGGGCTCAACGCCAGGAAACCTCGTCGGAGCCGGAGATTCAGCTGGAAATGCAGCCGTCGCAGAGATCGATAAAGAAGATCGCCCTTATTGTCCATCAGCTGAGCAGTAGAATCCCCTGAGTCGTCTTCGATCTCCTGCAAGGGAATCCATACATCACACCATGTTTGGTGATTTTTGTTTTTTTTTGCAAGCGCAGGGACGCTTGTGTGGACAGTGTGGACGGCTTTGTTTGTAAACTGCAGAAACCCGAAAATCTCTATTTCTGGCAATGTTCGAGACTTGGCAAACCATCGAGTGAAGCAGGGCAAACTGATGTAAAAGTTTTTTTTGGCGTGGGCGGGCCTCAACGACAGCAAGTTGCTGCACTCGGTCAAAGCAAGAACTACAAGAAAGCCAAGAACTAAATAAACTGTACAAAGAAGATAGAACAAAGGTGAGACAGGCCCCGACTAGCAGACTTGGCCGGCAGACGTCGTTCGGCAAAAAGGGCTGCTCTTTTTTTCGACCCCGAAATATCTTTTTTCAGACCCCACGCTTGGTCCATCTTGATTTCGACCCCGGCATGTCTTTTTTCCGACCTCCATCTTTTCTTCAGCCCCGCGACGAGGTCTAGAAAAAGATTACGCTCTTTTTTTCGACCTCCACTCTACGATTTAAACCGTCTTTTTCTCGGTCCCGAAATATCTCGTAACTGACACCGTGTCTTTTTTCGGACCCCGGTGGATCTTTTTCTGGGCCTCTAATGAATTTTTCTGACCTCAGCAAAGATAGAAGCACGCACACATGACATATCAAACAACACAACAAAGAGTGCCACAATATGAACTTTGCAACGCAAAAACTAACTTAACCGTCTTTCTGTTTTCACAATGATTTGATTTATCGATAAACAAAGTGCGAATTTAATCAATCGATATTTGAGAATCGCAAGCTATACAAATATGCGAATTCAATCAATCGATATTTGAGAATCGCAAACTATACATATGTGTAAAAATTCTTCACAAGAGTGCTCGAACTCGGACTCGGTTTTTTTTTCCAGTCGGGGGTCTCACACGGTAGGGCGAGTCAGAAACATAAGATGTGGTCTGTGCCACTGTTTCGGGTTTCGGTTGAGGCACGAGCAAATATGCGGTAGGATTCGCAATCGCTCTGTTGTGCATGATACCGATTCTGCCCTAACACGCATAACCCCCCCACCAAGATATAGGGCGAAAGCCTTCAAGGGCGGGAGGGTGGGTGAAAATTTTTAGCAAAGCTCTGCACAGCGCATGCCCAAGCTGCGTAGCTCATGAGCTGACTGAAGTGTCGTGTTGCACATGTGCGATGAGCCATGCTGTTTGGAGCGGCGCGGGTATGCACGCAATGGTTCAACTTCAATCAACATGTGCAATCAGAATACACGTGTTGTTTGAGTGAAGTTTTGTGTTAAACGCAAATAGATTTCAAATAAATCGTTGTGAGTCAAAAGCTCACATCTCAAAACATGAAAACGAAACGATAAATAATTAATCATTGCGCTGCTGAACCGGCAGCTATGAAAACAGAAAAGACAACTTAGTCGCTCCGCGAAATCGCCATACTATAACTTCTCACACACACACACACAAAAAGAAGAAGAAGACCGAAATCGCTTTTAGGGGCTGAAAGCGAACGAAAGAAATCAAACTGTGTTATCGAAAAAACATCAATCAAACGTTTTCCAACACGAAGGAAGGAGAAGCCACACGATTTCGCTTTAGGGGGCAAAAGCAAAAGACAATAAGAATGAAAAAATACAAGTGAAACACACACACGACAAGTCTTTTTTCCGGCCTCCAACTTGTCTTTTTTCTGTCCTCTGCTTGGGGCCGAAAAAAAAATCAAAGTTTTTTTTGGACCGCGGCAGTCGAACAAAAAGCAACTACCCCGCTCAGATGCCGCTTCACAGTTACACTGAGTTGCGCAATGGCAAACGCATGAACCCCCATCGTATGGCAGCATAGGAAATCCCTCCTGTTCACTGTGCACGGGTCCAGCTTCCCATCGTTTTCGCAATGTCAAGACAGAAGCCAGGCGCAGCATACACAGTAGCATCCGAGCATCAGAGAGAAGCGAGAGCACGCCCAGTGGTAGGTGCTTTAGAAGATGAATTCAGGCCCAGCTTCCCACCAAGGCAGGTCTCGCAAGGGCGGAGTCACAATTTCCTGACAATGGAGCAAACCAGGCAGCATGGGCTGCGTGAATCAACCGGACACACTTTCAGCCGTCTGGTCACTTGGCTTAGCATCCCAATGCCACGGCGGTGGAGCGCTTGGTCTGAACAAGAAAAAGCCGGCCCAGTACTCAACGAGAAGGGCATGCCAGAGCCCAGCTTCCCACACATGTCTCGCAAGGGCAGGAAAAGCAACAGGTATGAGCACACCTAGCCCGTTCGAGAGTTGTGGCTCCGAGCTGTGCAAAATTGCCCTTTCCACCACGGTGGGCCACGCAGGACTAATCGGAAGTCCCTGCAATGTGGGACGCAAATCGGCAGCGGTGATGTCGAAGCCTCTCGAACATCCTGGACCTTGTCTCGACCTGCATTTGTCAGATTTGACGGGATCATGTTCAAGGCTTCAAAAACGTGTGCGCCACAGGACCTCTCCAGTTACGAGGAAAATCCTTGGATGGAGTGGCTGCGTAGCAAAGAGAAACGGCGATCACGTTTTGGAATTTAAAAAAGGAGTGAAGAGCGGGCTCAAAAATTGGCCCGGAAGTCGGACCTGTTTTCAGTGCCTCTGAGCATTGGCACACTTTCCAAGGGTTCAGAAAACGGTCACATTTTTGGGCCTGCGTTTTGGCGGTTGATGCTTGTCTTGAACACAGATTCGTTTCAAACAATCAAGCTGAAACTTGCTGCATTCTTACCAAGCACAGCGCCAACAGAGGAGGCTCTTGTCGTGAAAAACTTAAGGTCCCTCCTGGACCTTTTCCCTTGGAAACAAGTCCCTACGAACACAGCGGACAGCTGCAAGTCTTTTTCACTCGGCTTGAGCCAAACGTTCACGGAGTGCGTCGGAGTTCACACATAAGTGTGGAAACGAATTCAAACAAACGAATTAGCGTATTGGGCTCTAACCACACAGAGATTTACGGAGTAAATCTTGTGGGATTTCAACATACCACAGAGGATCCATCAAGGAGTCCTCACAAACAACAAAGGTACACTTTGAGATCGAAGATTCTCAAATGTACCCGGAAGGTTTCACAAACCATAGGATCATCAAGATTCCCATCCAAACCTTGAAACCGTTCCCGAAGCAAAACAACTCACTAGACGAAGTAGTTTTCACAAGCGGCTAACGCTCATGATCTTACACCCCCCGCATTTTGCTGAGGGCTTCCTCAAAGATCTTCGCAGTAGGCAACAAAGCACCAACAATGGCACTTCAGCACTAGGGGGATGCCCAGGCCACATTCCCTTGGTGCGTACTCGCCACTCAAACACAACACAAACACGCACAGCCGATCTTTGCTCAAAGAGGCTTGCACGCCTGTACCATTTGCACAGGATTGTCTTGGACCAACAAGGGACCAAGAGTTCGTGGTGACAAACACGTAGCAAACTAATTAAAGCGGGCCGTTCAGAAACACTCAGTTCCTCTTCACAACCTCGTCTCAGCTCACCGTGTCAGGGCAGAAAAACCGCCAGGTCACCTGACTCAAAGTGGGGTCCGAAGGGACCTCGAAGACTGTCCAGCTAGTTTCCACTCTTCACCAGAGGCGTCGAGTAGCTTCTGCAGAAAACTTCCAGTACCAGTGTCGCGTGACAACTGTTCCAGACTGTATCCCAGCTGTTCCAGAAAAGAAGGGCTTCAGGGCCTGAGAAAGGCCTTCCAGCAAAAACACATGCACTGATTGCAAAGGGCTCGCACAAAAGGAGTCGGGCCATGGCGGCGCGGAAGCCATGGCGCAGCTAAACTACAGGCAGCTACACCACCCAAACGAGGTCATCAAGCACCTCACTTCGGGTCAGCTGCACCCATTGCCTCATCAGCCTTCTCAGAGGCCTTTTCAACCACCTAGGATCGGCGATCCTTTGCCGCATCCTTCATCTGCTCCAACTCAGCAACCCTTTGGCACATCTGCTTATCCTGCTGAGCAGCGCTAGACCGCTAGACTCAGATCCCTGAGCACTGCCAGATGCAGATGCCCTTTTCTTCTCATCCAAAAGCTTCTCCAAATCTCCCACACTGAGGCTTGCCTTCACCATCTCAGCGATCTGTGCGATCATCGCAGGCGGGGAACTTGGAGATGGTTGCTCCAACCTAGCCTTCTTTGCAGCTTCCTCCTCAGCTGCATCCAGTTTCTCGCGCCTCTTTCTCTTCTTCTCAGCTTCAACCTCCAAGTCGTGAGCAGCTACAGCCGCCAACACGGCTTGCTCCACACGGAGCTCAACATCCCCCAGCTTCTGAGTGTTCCCACCCAAAAACTTCCAGATGTGCTCCCACAGGATGCACGGGAGGTTCGTATTGAACCGACTGGCGTAGTCCGAGGCAACATGCCACGCGCAGTCACACTGCCAGATCACAGGCTCCCGGATGCTCTCAAGCACCCCAGTTGGAAGCTTCACCGCCATGTGATCGCAATCCACACTCAAACTTTCCTTCACCACATCATTGTTGGTGTAGGCGAAGTAGGCCCACAAAGGCAACGGCTTCCCGAGATCTTTCATCTTCGGGTCGAAAATCTTAATGGTTTGGCACGTCAAATCAGACATCCAACACACCTTGGACAACATAGTCGCAAACACCACGTTGCCTTTCTGAGCATGCTCTTTCCACCGGCACACCCAGGGTGGATGGGAAGTGGTCTCCAGATCATCCTTCGTGTATCTCTCCACTCCCAGAATGGGCAGTGTGTAAAGCAGATCCAACATGCGCAATATCCCTTGGTCCTGGTGCCGACTCAAAAGGATAAGCACCAAGAACCCTTTCCTCTTCAGGTACTGCACAAACATGAGCACAGCCAAACCACTCAACCCAGGGCTCATTTCAACGTAGATGCAACCTCCATTCATGGCAGTCTCCCAGATGACTGACTTTCCACCGTACTGAGATCTCATATCCAGGACGCATCGGCACCCCATGTTCATAAACATCAAAGTTCGGGTGGCTGAGCTTCTCAAAGCTCTTCTTGTAAAACTCCAGATCCTCACCCGACAAGGATTCCACCAAAGGTTGGAGATCCATCTGGTCAAGAGGGGCACCTCGAACTCCCATTTTCTCCCAGAGCTCTGTATACCAAGTTGGCATCTCACTCCCATTGAGCTCCGGAAACAGTGTCACCACGCTTGGTGGCCCATCAGGCCTTGGCACAGCCTTCGCCATTGGGCTCTCACCCTGATTGGCGCCATCACCTTTTCCACCATCGCCTTGCACCCACTGGGAAGATTTTCCTTCCCCTTTGTTGCCTTTCACTTTTCCTTCTCTCCCTCACGGAGATGAAAGGCGTGGGAGGCATTGGACCCCCAAACACTTATCTCACCCTTGCACTTCTCGCACAGGGGCTTGTACTCAGCAGTCCAGCCATTTGCACTGCTTGCACCAGTACGATGCCTCCATGGATCCCCTCGGGGTATCCGCCTGAGAATCCGTCATGTCGTCCTTCAACACAGGTACGACAGCAGAGGGGCTAGCTTCCGTGGTGCTTGAACCAGAGTCGCTGCGAGTAAACCGAATTCCGCAAATCCTCCAAACTTGCTGCACATTTTCATCTTCAAAAATCCCTAAAGCTTGTTGGTGTCTCAAGAAAACTTCCCAACTCAAACACTTCGTCATGATATCAGCCACCATCGCTGATGTAGGGCACCAGAGGACCTTGAGTGTCTGAGCCTCTTGGATCCTCTCCTGAAGATAACATACAGCAATGTCCAAGTGTCGAACTCTTCGACTCAGACCCCGATTCAGCAACACAGCCCTTGCCGACGAACTATCAGTATGCAACCTAATCTCAACCTTGGACCCAGCCAATTGTCCAATCAGAGTTGCCAATCCCCCACTTTCTTGCACAGCGGTCAAAATCGCTCTAAGTTCAGCCTCACACGAGCTGAGGGATACACACCCTTGAACTCTTGAAATTCCTTTGATCAAACACCCGCGGTAAAAGATGGCGATTCCTGACACTGATCTCCTTCCCAGAGACGCTTGCGGTGCCCAACTTGCATCCGCATACACATCAAGCGTGGTAGATCCTCCGTCTGGGACTGGGACCTCACTCCCAGGATCATAATAATGCCAACAAAGATACTGGCTTTTCAAGAAACGAATCACTTGCCTCAAAGCATGCTCAAAACAAGCTGTAGGCTTCGACTGACCTTGGGAAAGAATAGACATCCAACGAGCCAAGTCTGGACGAGACTGACCCCACCAAGCAATCCTTCCAAGAACTGCTCGGTAGCGCATCGCAGCAGCCTCCGACAACAAGCGGTCCTTTTCAGGATCAGCGCGACCCTTTTCAACGATCTTCACAAGATCAGGAGGACTACTCAACGCCTTCAGGCAAACTTTCCATGTATTTCGGTGGAACTCTCATCCGAAGATGCTCACCATGCCTCTCAATCTCTCTTCCCAAGAACACAATTCTTCCTCCAGTCGGAGTGATGCGACCCGTTTCCTTGATCTTGAGCTCGCGGTTCAAAGTATCCGTGACCAACTTAATGGCATCTGAGCTTCCACACAAGATCAAATCGTCCACATAACAGAGCATGAGAAACCGTTTTCCTTTCACGGTTCCCTCAAAAACCGATGGCTCAGTAGGGCGCTGATTCAACCCAACCTTCTTCACCACATTCGCCAACTTCAAGTTCCAAGCCTTCGCAGCGACTCTCAGTCCGTTCATTGCTTGATCAAGAATCATATACGCCGGGGCGTAATAATCAGACCTTGAACTCACATCTCTCGGCAGCATGATCACCGCCTTTTCACCTTTGGGCAACGGTGAATGCAAAAAGGCAGTAGAGACATCCAGGGTAGCAATATCCATCGAATCTTTGGCAGCGATGGCCAAAAGAGTTCGCAAGGCCTCCAACGACGGCGTGGTCGCACTCAGACCTAGTGATGAAGCTGCACTACCCTTAGCCACATCCTGCACCACACACCGGGCGCGCACTGCATCTTTCCCGTTCACAACCTTGGGTCCGAGCACCCATCGAGTAGGGATAATCCTGATCCCATGCTTCTTGGCAAACGCATGCGCCTCATCAGCAGACACAATCCTTCCTGCTTTATGTGAATCCATGCTACCAAGCTTTGTACGTCGACCCTCCATAGCTGACGAGACGTCCAATGGACACCCATCCAGCTCAGACAACGCACTCTTCATCTTCGCCAACCAAACTTTGGATCCACACATTTGCACCGGTTCCGGAAAAGCAGTGTTCTCAGTGTTCTTCTCAATCAGAACCGCATTCACCACTTTCGCCAGCTTTGGCGCACCTAGTTCCTCACCGGCACTGGTAAAACCTCCTGGGGCATCCAATCTTGGATGAAGTGACTCCAACAGCCTGGGAACCCTACTAGGCTCACTTGAGACGCTTTCAGGCTCAACACTCATGGGTGCAGCCTCGTCAGCCACTCTCTTGTCAATCTCCATAGGCTGTTCTTCTCTCGCGCCGAACGACTTGGACCAAACAGTAGCAGTAAAACTTAACGCGCAAACTTACTCAAGCTGCAGTAAAAACTCTTGAAAGAACTTGTGCATCAAGATTGACATGACTGCATGTACTGAAGCACTCACACTGTGGATCGCACTGCTGACGACTTTTCCTTCGGTGACTTTGGGAAGTCCGATGCTGCATGTGCCGTGTCGGCACTAAGTTCGCTAACTACATGCCAGGCTGGCATTCGTCTGCACAAACTACACGCAGGGAGTTGCAGCCCTCTAGGAGGGGCCCTGCAGGCTTACACCCCTCAGAAGCACCACGCCAGTGTCAGGGTGGGCGGGTGGGACAAAAAAAACTTTTGCTCGGCTTGAGCACTCACCACTGCATGCGGGATGGCATCGCACTCACTGGAACAGCACCGTAAGGCAGTTTGCAAAAAGCCACAAGAAAATCAAGCGAAGTGCAACAAGAAAATCAAGCTGGCTCATGACAGTTTTTCTTAGGTTTGTCCAAGGCGGCCCACGCGAGGGCCTTCGCTCAGGCTCAAGAGAACCCACTATCTCGGGGCGAGACTGTGTGGTTCTCTCGAGCCGAACGACTTGGACCAAACAGTAGCAGTAAAACTTAACGCGCAAACTTACTCAAGCTGCAGTAAAAACTCTTGAAAGAACTTGTGCATCAAGATTGACATGACTGCATGTACTGAAGCACTCACACTGTGGATCGCACTGCTGACGACTTTTCCTTCGGTGACTTTGGGAAGTCCGATGCTGCATGTGCCGTGTCGGCACTAAGTTCGCTAACTACATGCCAGGCTGGCATTCGTCTGCGCAAACTACACGCAGGGAGTTGCAGCCCTCTAGGAGGGGCCCTGCAGGCTTACACCCCAACTTAACCCATTCAGGAAATCCTTGCGCTTTGTCCAGCGATTGCAGACTCACCGGAGTCCTTGCACTTTCTTCAAGCAAGCTGTGATGAGGCCGCCCACAAGAGATCTATCAAGATGAGTGCCCAAGAGGCACAGGTTTTTGCATTCGATCCGCGAAGGTTCATCTGCGGGGTTTGATGGTGAGGGTACCCTCGCGTACCAAGGCACGACTGAAGCATCATGCTCCAGTTGCAAGAAAATCTCCAATAGTCGCCTGGCTATCGACGCTTTCGCATGCCCCGAAATGGTGATGTCTCGAACCCCGTTATTGTCCACGAAGAAAATTACAGGGCAGCCTTTAAAGTCGTGTGACCAAGCATCCATAGCGATTGTGAGCGCCAGCAATTCTGCTTGAAAAATGATCTGGGCTGACTTGGATTCGCCTAAGAAAATCTTTTGGGAATCGTCCAAGACAACTGAAAAGAACTTTCTAGGCACACCACTAGGACCAACCAACACTCCGCCTATTCCACAGTAACTCGTGGTCGCACCCGGCTCGTAGGATGCGTCCGTGTACACCTTCCAGAACCCGCCTTCAAGGATCTTGATAAGTCGCGGTGCATCACACTCAAGCCTTTGCAGAAACCTTTCAAGCGACACGCGAAGCTCGTGACTGATAGCCTCCTCGAGACCATAGGCGTGCGCAGTGATCAATCCTAAACACTTCTTCCCAGTGCGGCCGAAGATTTGCGAATCTGCAAACTGACACCTCCCTCTGAGGCGAAGCGCTTCATGATGTGGAAGACGGCCGTCCTCCAACACCTTTTGCACAAAGGATTTGATTTCCTCAATACGCTTTTCCGTATTCTTGAAGTAAATCACCCCGTCGTGAACCTGACTCAGGTCAGCAACTATTCCCAATGCACTGAAGCATTTTGCAAAGTCATGCGATTTGTCACCGGACTCAGCGAAGGCCCATCCAAGTAACTTGAACATTGCAGTGACAGACGATTCCGCCGACAGAGCTTGGCCGGAAGTGGCAAATGTTATATAGTCGTCGAAAAACGACGACCAGGGCAGAAGGAGGGCTTTGGTTCCTAAGAACCAGAGCGAGTGGCTGACTCTCAAGAAACTATACACCGCCATGGAAGAGCCGAATGGCATCGCCCTCATGCGGAAGTACACTCTCTCATGAGTCTCCGGATGGACCAAGCAAATGTATGAAGCCCACTCGCTGCCCGGATGCACCGGTAGCTGCCTATAAGCAGCGGTAAGATCAAAAGCCTTTCCCAAAAGGTTGAAGACGGCCTTGCCTAATCTCCTTTTGATGTACCTAAGAAGACGCTGGCACGTGGAAGCTACCACATCAGTGGACTGCGGTTGGGGAGCTTCATAAGCCTGCACTGCTAAGTTTACCCCAGACGAAGTCAAGTTGTCAATGCACCTAACCTTCGGGCCTTGCCGCAATCCGAACCGTCTGCTCACCAAAGTTCCTGAGCACAAGTTGGATTCGCAAAGAGGGCCAATGATCCAGCCCGCCTCTAGCTCTTTCTTAGTCTTTTCAAAAACTTCGGACATTAGGGAGTGCTCCTGGGGTTTAAGAGACTTATGGACCTTTTTCCGAAAATCATGAAAATCTTCACGCACTTGCTCTGGCGTGGCTTGCATAGGTTTGAACTTCGGCTTAAAGACACCCGAGATGGGCGCGTGACCCACTAAGGGAATCCCTTCCTTGAGGAGACTGGACACTCCAGGGTCGGGATAAGCGTACTTCGCCATCAGAGACTCCCACAACAAGATGCGTTTCGGTTCGGTGATAGCACGGACGTCAGGGTGCATGCTTGCTTTCAGCTTTGCTTCATCCTGAGCCAGGGAAACCGAAAGGTGAACCCATTCCTTAATAACCCTAGCTCCTAGCTCGGTTACTTCGGCGTCATTCTTCTCGTCCAATGCATCAAGAGAATCCTTAAGTGGCTGAGGGAGCACAGATCCAATGGTCCGAGGATGGCTGGACTCATTGGCCGCCTTCATAAACTCTTCTGGGTCCCAAGGAATTCCCCAAGCCATTTCCCACAAACCTACTTTCACAGTATCGTCGCCCACTTTGACCTATCGGCACGTGCCTGAGAAGCTGGGATTTCGCAGGAATGCAGGCGCAGGGAGCTTGGCATTCTGAGGCACGAGCCAATCTGTAGTAAGACGCTGCACGGGCTGGCAAGGCAGTTGGAGGCCAGGCGGGTGGCGAAGCACGACCACACGCTTATGTTCCGGGACGAGTGGAGGAATTTTGCTAGCCGGAGGCTGAGCACCTGCTAGAGCACGTGACATCGGCACCTGAAGTCGAGGGTCGAATGCATCGAAACATTGGCTAGGCGGTTGCCAACCTTTCTTGACGAAAACTTCGGCGAAGCAGCATGCTACTTTTGAGACATTTTATGTCTACTAAAATGTTTGAAAACCAAATAATTTCTTTTATGGTTTCACTATGATTTCAATATGATTTTCATTTATGGTTTTTTTATGAAATATTTATGGTTTTGGTATGATTTAGTATGAACCCATAGTAAAATCATATTGAAACCATAAATTTTCCATATATTTATGATTTCACTATGATTTCACTATGATTTCACTATGATTTTACTATGGTTTCACAGATTGCCCTTGATTCCATAATATTTCCAATGATTTTTATGGAATATTTATGGTTTTGGTATGATTTAGTATGAACCCATAGTAAAATCATATTGAAACCATAAATTTTCCATATATTTATGATTTCACTATGATTTCACTATGATTTCACTATGATTTTACTATGATTTCACAGATTGCCCTTGATTCCATAATATTTCCAATGATTTTTATGGAATATTTATGGTTTTGATATGATTTAGGATGACACCATAATGAAGTCATATTAAAACCATACATATACCATAATTTTGCATATATTATATTGATGATTACACTATGGTCTCCCTATGATTTTACTCTGACCTTGATATGGTTCAACCGTTCCTTTGATTCTACAATATTTCCATTATGATGGAACATGCGACATTTGTGTCATCAATATGGTTTGCAATATGAATTCAATGTAGGTGCAATCTGAATGGCCTGAAATTTATGGAATCGAAATGCTTTCACCAGGATTTGAATAGGATTTCAGCCTTCTGGCAAACCATTACAGGCGCAACTGGCCTTACCATGATTTCCTTACAGTCGCTGTTGAAAGCATACATTCGGTATGGCATTGCCGATCTCACTACACGATGTGAAACACCAAAGATGGTTTCAGTCCGACTAAATCAAATAAATTTCTGCATGAACTCTATCATGTAAACGTAAGTGGTATGTCTAGTCCAGTCTTTGAAAGCTGAAAAAACGAGCATTGATTTACTTGAAACCTTTCCTCTTCCCATGCCGAGAAGCCGCGAGTTCTGAAACTTCAATCGCGAACATTTGAAACTGCGCCATTCAATCATATGTCTATGGTCTATGGGCCATATGGCGATGTATGCAAAAAAAACACTCAATAAGACCGGTCAGTAGATTTGGGCATGGCATGGCACAACCATTGTATCAGATGCTTGGGGGTGCGACATCTCATAGTACAAACAAACTGCACTCCAGGGAGTCATCCATACCCCCTTTATAAATGGCCTGGCAGTCTTCTAGTTCCAACGGGCTTTCGGATTGCGAAATAGAGATCGAAACTTCAATGCAGTAAATTCAGCAGATGGCCAAAACTGGAATCGGCTCTATTTTTCACTGTGCGGTCAGTCGCGCGTGCCTGAATCAACAGGCGGCTCACGGCTCGCGGAGAAGACTTCAAGACGCAAAAGGTGGGGCCAGAGGTCAAAGTTCTACTCGATCAGCTATCATCTTGTGTAATCCTTCAATCTGCTAACCACGGTGCCCCTAGAGCCCTGGGACCAACATCGGCCAAAAGCTGCTAAAAGTTCAAGCAGACCATACGGCCTTGGGACTAAAGTTTGACTAAAGCTTTCTTTGGGGATCCTTCAGAGCCCAGGGATTGCACCAACACCCCAAGCCCCAGGGCCGAAATTAAAAACCCACACGGTGGTCGTGTGGGCGCGTGTTTAAAGCGGGTATCCA